GGGTTAACGCAGAGATGTCAACAATATTTGGCAAACATTATTATCTGTCACTTTTATAATAATAATATAAAGTGAGCATGTATTCAAAATTTTTTAGTAATGTTTGTTTATATACAGAGTGTCCAGCACAACTCAGGTGTCTTCTAAAATGTATAGCTACAACTTGTTGTATTAAACGACAGAATTGTGTCCTATTTTGTAAATAGTTACGTAAAATTTTTATTTATTAATTAAGGAAAATTAATGAATAATTACTGGTTATACATTAAATACGCCGTGATGGCGATATCTACTACCGTGTGTTTATACACTTCTTCTTACTGAAAACAATAAATTCTTTTACCATTTTGAAAACACATGAAATGTGTAGTTATTACAATGTAATTAATGAAAAATAAAATCAAGAATGATAGATCATCGTTCGCAATAGTGTCTTCAATTTTTTTTAAATAATTAAAAATTTTTCTATCTTCCTCTGTGGTTTTATATATATTTATATATATGTGTATATATATATATATATATATATATATATATATATATATATATGTATGTATATATATGTATGTATGTTTATAAAATGATGCAGCAATTTCTATTCAGTTTGACCACATGTATGAGCACATAAAGTAAGACATCGTCATTACAACATATTTACTGCATTACAAGTAGTTATTCACCAATCCTTCTTGCTTAATAACTAAATATTTTATTTGTTTGTTTACAAAATAGTATAGAGCTTTTTCAATCAATTTAATGAATACTACCTGTACACAAGTAGTCAGTACACAGTCTGTACACTCTTAATTCTATACACTCTGTATATAAATATACATTTATTGTATATAACAATATATATATTTCTTTTTTCCTCAGTTATTTCTCTAAATTTTATTTTACTATCTTTTGTGTAAATATCCTGCTTTGCAGTATAATTTATAAAGAGAAGGACAATAATATAAATATTTTTTATATAACTATACTTATTCTTTTTCAGTGTTCAATTAAATAACGCTAAATTAAACAAAGTGGCGGATCACATAATTACTCTCCTTCCTGCTGAAGGCAGGAACTTTAAGGAACTGTAAGGAACTTTATTATTATCCATCCGTGAAGAAGATATATTCTAAACTTCGTAAATCTAGTGTTGCAAAGATAAAACTAATTGATAAAAACAGAAACATGCAACCGTTTCTAAGAAAACATCAGTTACTATCACCAAACAAATCTTTATCAATGAATATTTCTATTGATGAAGACACTTCAAACGATGATTGGTAATCATATATTTTTAGAATTTACTATACAGGGTAAGTCATTTTAGTCTATGGATCCGAATATCTTCCAAATTA